TGGGCGCAAGTGACGGTGCTACCGTGGAAGCACTCGCCTCGTCGCTCGGCCTTTCGCAGGCGGATCTTCAAAGGCTGCAGCACTTCATAGATGAGGAGCCTGTTCTTCGCACGCAACATGCCCCAGAGGTCTTCGGCGAAGTTGCCAACGAGCTGCATCGGAGTATTTGGTTTCTGCTTTCAGGCGACACCCAGCTGATCGAAACATACCGAGGTACAAGAGCCGGGGGATCTCTTGCGGACATTATTTTTAACATCTTGTTCTGCAAAGTCCTCGAGCGACGAGACAGGTCCACCTCTGGACAGCATGTGCCCATGGTCCCTTGGTCCGGAACTCGCTCGCCGTGGTGTCGATCTTCCGGGGATGGTGGAGCCTGCCGGCTCACAGAGGTTAGTGATGTGGTATATGCTGACGACCTCGCCAGCTTCCTTGACCGAAGACACATTGCTGCCCCATGGGCTCAGCGCCAATGTGGGGCCTACCAAAACCGATGCAATAGCCGCCCCTGCTGGTCCAGGCTCCAAGTCGGTTCGAGGAGATCTCTTTAGTGCGCATTTCGGTCCTCCCGGAAAATCGAGGAGAGGAGCATTTCTCCTGGACCTTGCTCCCGCTTACCGACATTTGGGATCTTATATCACGCACAACGGACGCATGCTTATGGAAATCCGTCGATCATAGGCTCGCTGCAGGCCGCTCGGCGCTGAAAGAAGGCAAGCAGCGCCTATTTGCATGCCGGCGGCATAGCTTAGGCAGTCCAGGCGTCAAAGATTGCCTGCTTCCAACAGGCACACCAAGCCAGAGTCCACTCTTCCGCCCAGCCCAGTAAGGCGCATCCCTCTCCAGCGTCGGGTTGAAATTTTCAGGGTGCTCGTAGTGTCCACTGTCTTGGCCGGGGTGGGCACTTGGCCGGTTCTTAATGGACAGGAACTGCAACTGTTTGCCGGCGGCGTTCTCAGCATGTATAGACAACTGCTGTGTCTTAGGGCGGAAGGCGGTTTCCATTGCACCTCGATTGCCGTGTTGGACTCTTGCCGCCTCTGGACCTCCTGCACGTCGCACGTCTTCGTTTCCTTGGGCAGCTTGGTAGACATGGACCCGACCCTGCTTGGGCCCTTCTTTCGCACCTTTCCGGATTTCAGCAGGCGATCAAGGACGCTGCGTCCTGGGTCCTCCGTGCAGTGGGTTCAGTTTGCGAGCTCGGTGACATTGAGTCTGACTGGGCAAATTGGGAATCCCTCTTTCTTTCCTCGCCTGCCCGTGTCCGCGCTCTCTTGAAACGAGCGGAGGCGTGGCATTTGCTTTCAGTTGGAATTTCATTTCTGCTGCGCTCGACGCATTTGGCCGCACGCATTGGGATGCTGATCCCCATACCGAGCGCCCGCCCTTGGCGGAATGTGCGCACGCGTGCATCCCTTGTAAACTTGCCTTCCACACTCGGCAGCAATGGGGGGCGCATGCCCATCGTGTCCATTCGTACCATTCGCGTGCACACCGGATTGCGAAAGGCCGCACGTGTGGGGCATGTGGACTTCAGGTTGCTTCGCTAGGGCGTTTGCGTACGCATTTGCGCCTGAGCCCGGCATGTTTCGCTGGCATGGAACAGGCTCTATCTGAGGGGACTTTCTCTGCGGATATGACTGAGGCGCACGATCTTGCGCCAGCTGTGCCCGGAGTGGGCAAGAAGGCCCTTGGGCCGGCTCCTCCGGAAATGCTGCCGGAGCTTACGGCTGAACTGGATGCGCTTGTGCCTGCTGATGCGGACAACGATGATGCCATATTCGATGTGGTGTCTCGTTGTATAGCTCCGCTACCAGTGTTGCGATGCACAATTGAGACTTGGTGTCGCACTCTTCCGCCTGGCGTGCTCCGGTCCGCTGCTGAGGATGTGCTTTTGGTCTTCTCCCCGGAACATCTGTGCACTCGCATTTCTGGTAGAAAGGCCTGTTCCAGTCCCGCTTCTCCTGACTTCGTGCCTCTTCCTGACTTGCCAGTTATTGTCTGTGGGCCTTTGGTGTCCCATTGGGTGGAGGGTGTCAACGCAGGGCACTTGGCAGTTACCACGATTGCCTTTTCTGATGTCGCCGCTTGGAGTTGGCGTCAGGCTGCGCCGCCTGCATCACCTTCCCTCGGCCACCTTCTGGGCTTACGCCGGTGTTCTCTCCTCCTTCCTGCAGCTTGCGAGTTCTGCGCCAATTGTCAGAGTGGGTCCACAGCTTCCTCTCTGCGCTTGGCCCGCTCCTGCTCATGGCCAAGACAGGACGGCCGGTTCGGATTCGTTTCCCTTTCTCGGCGCAGACTTTGGAACCGTTATCCGACTGGCTTGCTGCCATGGCCGACCTCACGGCATCTGGCTCCCTCACTCAGACAGAGCGGAGACAACATCGGAGACAACAGTTTACATTGAGTTTATGAAGGGAGACAAATC